TTGGTGGATAAAGCAGAGGTTGTGGGGAGACGCCTAGCCTGAGCCTTAATGGGCAGCCAGTGGGGGGCTGCAAGGAAAAGGAGGAGGAGGAGGGGGGGCGATTCAGCTGAGGAAACATATGGGGCGGGTTGGGGGTTGCCAGTAAGGGGGAAGGTTGGGGGTTCGGAGGAGGCCCCAGGGGGTCCTGCATCAACCACAGGCTGGGCACCCAGTTTCACAACCCTTTGAGTTGTGAAGGCCTGGAAGCTCGGCGGGAGGAGGAAGGGGCTACTCGGTGTGTGGAGGGGAATTCGCATCCTCGGAGGCAGCAGCGGGCCAGGAGAGCCACAACCCAGCGTCGAAGCCCCCCCAAGAGCCTCCGATCTCCGTTATAACCAGCCGGGAAGGGAGCAGAGCTGCCGCCCCCTTTCCAAGACCCCGTCCGCCTCCTGGCTTGTCGGGAAGGGTCCCGCGGGGAGCGGCAAGAAGCAGCGGATCCCGTCCCGTCTTCCTCGGGGCCGGCTCGGCCCTGGACAGCGGCGGTGTGGCAGAGCGGCTGGAGACCGGCGTCGGGCGGGCGCAGCGAGGGCTCCGGGGCAGCTGGAAGGCCAGAAGGAGGGCGATGGCGGGGCGGATCCGAGCGCCTGACCGATGGCGCGGCGGTCCTCCCTTTCGCGGTTGCGGACCCCGTGGGGAGCCCGAGGGAGGGTAGTGTCCCCCCGCGGGACAAGCCGGCGGCCTCGGGCTGGCCGAGGAGGGGCGGCGTCGGGAGCGCGCCTTCGACTTCGCCCGCGTGCCGTGCTCNGGGGGCTGCTGAGGCCTTGGGGAAGAGGCAGCGGCTCGCAGGGTTGGCATGGCGGAGCAGCAGGCAGGCGGGCAAGACAGATGGTGGCAGAGCCCAGTGGGTGGCTCTGCGTTGTGCCAGTACGCACGGGGTGGGGGAGGGGCTCCGTGCATATCCGGGCAGCTGGTGCTGCTCAAGGGGCCTCGTTTTGGGGTGGGGGCTGCGACTCCTGGGGTGCCAATGGTCCAGGCAAGGGGGGCAGGCGGAGACCCAGGCTTGGCATCCAGCCAGCCCCATTGGGGGGCAGCTCCGGCCCGTAGGGCTTCTGTGCCCCCCTCGGCCTTCCTGAACCCCAGTCTGGAGGGGGCCGCTGTTCTTGTACCCCAGAAGGGGCTTTCCTTCCAGGCAGGGGGCCGCCAGGGGCTCCTGAAGGTTGAAGGCCACGAGGATGGGGGTGAATATCTCCCCCATCCCTCCTTCCCCTCCCCATCCCTGGCTGACTGGCCTCCAACGGGGTTGGGCTCCTTGGGGGGGGGGGGCTACCTGCAGACTTTCTGTACGTTGCCCATCGTTGCCCCTCGTTGCCCCTGGCACCCCCCTCCCCCCTCCCCCCTCCGAGCAGCCTCTGGGCCTCTTGGGAAGCTGCCCCAGGGGGGGCCTCTGGACACCCACGTCCCCTCAGGGGCCTTTGGGGCCCCTTCAGCGGCTCCTCCGGCCGCTCTGGGCTCCTCTGGTCGGGGTAGGGGGGCTGCTTGTGAGCTGCCTTTGGGGGGGCTGGGAGGCCTTTGAACAAATCCCCCACCAAAGGCATCGATTGGCAGTGCCCAAAGGCTCCAGCGGTGGTGAGATTCCCAGGGAGCAAGTAGGAAATCCCCCCCCCCATGGACAAATTCCAAGGGGGGCTTTTCTACGGCCGGGGCATGATGGGGCTGCACCCAGAAGGCCCCTGGGGGTCCCCCCATAGGCAGCCAGGGGGGGGAATTGCTCCACGACACGCCCAAATGAAGTCGAGGGAAGGATGGGATGGAGAGGCCCCAGAGGGGGCAGGGAGGGGTCTTTGATGGGCAGAGCCTGCGCAGGTGGGGGGCTCCCTCGGGGTCCCCTCACCCATCTTTTGGGGCCCTTCTCCAGAGCCTGCCCCACAACAGAGGGGTTGTGCCTGCGATTCCCGGTTGCCAATTCGGGGACCCCCCAAAGGAGGATTCCCCCCCCCCCTTAAGCCCACTGAGGCTTCCCTCACTTCAGGTCTTCTTCATAAGGGCAGGTTGAACCGTGGCTGGGCCCCTGTACTGGCCCTGGGGGGAGGCCTGGGGGGGAGGAGGGGGAAAGGGCCCTGGCTTCTCTGGGCAGGAGGGGGGGAAAGACACAGGGAGCCTCTTGTCCAGGGGGGGGGGTGAGGAGGGGGCAGGTGGGAGGAGCTGGGGAGGGCTGGGGTGGGGGTCCTGCAGCCCACTGGTGGTAAACTGTCGCCCCCCCTCCCACACGTACTCTTGGGGCTTTGCTGCCCCCCCTCCCCGAAGTCCTTCCGTGTGGGGGTGCCCCTTGAACGCTGCCCTTCTCCCCCCCCCCAGAGTACCACGCCAGCCGTTCCCGCAGGAAGAGCGTCCCGGGGGGCAAGCAGTACAGCATCAACATGGACGCCCCGCCAGCACCCCCCTTCCGTTCCTCGGTGAGTGACCCCCCACCCCCGCAGGGCTTCCCTGTCCTCCCCCTGAGCCCCCCTCCCTTTTCCTTCAGCAGGGGGCAGGCATCAAAGGAAGGGCTGAAGAAAGGAACCGGCCCCCAGTGGGGCTGAGGGAGGGGAGGGGGCAGAAGGAGGAGCTGCTTCCCCCCTCTGCCTCACACCCCCCCCTGCTGGGGCGGCCCTCCTGCCTCCCCCTAGGAAAAGTGGTTAGGACTAGAGGTTGGGGCAGGGAAGATCTTGGATCCAGGGACGCCAGAATGGCTGCTGGCCCAGGCAAAGTTGTGAAGGGCAGGGAAAGGAGGCCACCAGGAAAGAAAGGCGGGTTCGGGAGAAGATGGGCTGGCTTCAAACCAGCTTCCTTGAGCTCAGCTGGGACGGACGGAGGGCGGTTCCCGAAAGGGCTGCCTTCCCGAGCGGCTTTTGTGGCAAGTGGGCCCCGGCTGAGATAGCCACTTGGCCTCTTGGCTCCCCAGCCAGGGTCCCCGTGGGAATCTCCGCGTGCCGGGCCTTATCCAGCNAGAGAGAGAGGGAGGGGGGGGCCATTTTACCCCAGGGAGGAGAGAAAACAGTATATATAGGAAAACCAAAACAGGAATAGTAATATAAATAATAACAGTGATTTAAATCCCCCCCCCCAAAAAAAATCACCAATACGTGTAATAGCTGCAAATTGTGATGGAAAGGAGTGCGCCCCCCACCGGTGGATTCTTCCCATTCCTTGGGTTGAAAAGTGGGGGGTGGGTAGGCTGGTCTTGGCAGGACCCCCCCCCTTCCCGTCCTTTTCAGCTGTGCTTGAGTTGGCCAGGAAACCTTCCTTTGGGGAGAGAGAGAAAGCGAGCGAGAGAGAGAGAAAGAGAGAGAGAGAGAGAGAGAAAGAGAGAAAGAAAGAAAGAGAGAGAGGGAGGGAGGGGAGATGAGAGAAAGAGAGAGAGAAAGAGAAAGAGAGAGAAAAAGAAAGAAAGAGAGAGAAAGAAAGAGGGAGAAAGAAAGAGAGAGAGAGAGGGAGGGAGGGAGGGAAGGAGGGAGAGATGAGAGAGAGAGAGAGAGAAAAAGAGAGAGACTCCTGGCCACTCAGGGCCTGGATGCCTTTGAGGGTCTTTGCAAGGGGCAGCCTTGGGTGGGGGGGCCTGGCTGGCTGAGCTCGGGGGGGCTGCCAGGGGAATGGAGGGTTAGGGCTTGGGTCCCTGACCCGGGTTAAGAAAGGGAAGCCAGGGGTCTTGTGACACCCTAACTGGGCCTGTGGGAGAGGGTGCCCGGTGGGCCTGGGCTCTGCCTGGTCTGGAGGGAGGGAAGAGAGCATCCTGCCTTGGCCTCCCCCCTGGATCTGGTCCTGGGCAGGGGGGGAAAGAGGAGGGGGGGCTTCAAGGTCAGAGGGCAGGGCCTGCTGCCTCCCCAGCCCGGCTCTCTGCAGCCCCCACCTCCTGCCCCCCCATTTGGGGGAGGCAGCGGGGTGAAAAACGTAGAGCCGGCTTCTCCCTCGGGGTGGGGACCTAAACCAGCTCTCAGCTGGCCCTGCTGAAGCCCCCCCCTCAGCCAACACGCCCCTCCCCCCAGCGATTGCCCCCAGGGCCCATTGCTACTCTGGCCCTACAGTACGGGGGGGGGGGTCGTGGGTGGGGAGAAGAGTCCCGCTTGACTCCCAGCTAGGTGGCCACTGGCTTCTCCCCACTGGCTGGTCCAGATGGCCACGGGGGCCTCCCCCCACAGAGCCTCTGTCAGCCCTGCCCCTCCACCTGCCCCAAACCCAGGGGGCTGGGGGGGAGGGCTGAGGGGGGGGGGTTAGCCAGATCTAAAAATCCCTGCCCACGGCTGGGATCCCCTAGTGGGGGTTCTGGGGCCCTTCCCAGCCTCCGGAGCCCACCCAGGGTGCCCCCTACACGACCCTCTGCCTGCCCCCTTTGCCGTAGGCTTCTCCCCTCCCTCTCCCTGGCTCTTGGCAGCAGCTTCTGGCCACTGGGGGGCAGCACAGGGCCGGCCGAGGCCTTACACAACTCCCCGGCTGCCCCCACCCAGGCAGGCAGGAGAGCTGGGTGGAGGCCCAGAGGCCCTTGGAAGGCAGGTGGGAGGGGGGGGAGAGTGTGCTGGGGTGCCCCCCGAGGGGGTCTGAAGAGACCCTCCTGGTGATGCGGGGGGGGTCACACTGGGCACAGAGCCAACTCTCTCCTCTGCTTGTGCCAATCTGCCTGGCTTTGCCTGGAGCCCCCAGGTGGCGTGGGAGGGGGACCTGCCTCAGTGGCCTTAATGGAACCCTCACGGCCGGGAGGGGCGGCTCAGACCACCGTGCCCCCCCAGACACACCCCAGCGGGCAGAGGGCATCAGGGGAGAGGAGGGGATGAGGCCCCCTTCTCTCCCCAAGACACAGGCGGTCGAGTGGCATCCCGCCATTGTGGGAGGGGCGGGGGGTCCTGGCAGAGCTGGGTCTCTGGGAGTGTGTACCCCCAGGCCCTTCTTGGGGGGGGAGGGGGGGCTGGGAGGGGGCACCTGCCCGGCTGGGGTCTGCTTGACTCTGCCCTTCCGCTGCAGATGTGCGAGGAGCACCGGGGTCCCGCACGCAGTATGTCCACTCGCCTTACGACCGTCCCTGGAACGCCCCCCGATTCTGCATCATCTCCGGCAATCAGCTCCTGATGCTGGACGAGGAGGAGGTGAGCAGGGCAGGGGGAAAGGGGGAGGGTGGGGGTTGAGCCCCCCCGGAGGACCGGGAGCAGGCAGGGAGGGGGCCCAGAAGGGGGCCCTCTCAGGAGGGGCCACATTGGTTCTCACAGGTTGGGCCTTGGATGCCAAGCGCCTGGGGAAACCACGGTTTCTGGCTTCCCGAGTCCAGCAGGAGGGAGGGTGCCCCGTGGTTAGGTACCCAGGGTGGGTTCTGCCTCTTTCTGGGCTGGGGGGGTCTCTGCCCCGGGAAGGCCCCTCGGGCCAAGTTCCCACGTGACTCTTTCGGTGGCCCTGGCTCACAGCCCCCCTGCAGCTCCCCGGAGATTCACTCCGTCTTTCACAGGCCTGCCGTGGCTTGGGGAGGGGGGGATGTGCAATGCGGGAGGCCAGAGAAGAGAGGGCACTTGGGGGGGGGACTCTCTCCTCCCCCTCTGACCTGGGCTGCTCTTCTCCCACCCCTCCCCAGATTCACCCTCTGCTCCTTCGAGAACGCCAGAGGGAGTCCGGGCGCAGCAAGCTTCTACGCCGGACGGTCAGCGTCCCTGTGGAAGGCCGGCCTCAAGCTGAGCACGGTAGGAAGGAGGTCCCCCCCGGGGGGGGGGAATGGGGGAGGGAGAACCAGGGCCGGCCAGAGTCCTGCGGGGGGTGGGGGGTGGGGGGGTCTGAGGGAAGCTGCACAGTTGTGGGGCCAAATCTGGGCTGGGGGGGGGGGTCTGAGTTGAATCTGCATGGGCAGGTTTCATTCGTGTGTTGTGTGTTGTGTGTGACTTTCCCAGCACTAAAGAGACGGTCTTGGAGGCTCCAGAAGTTTTGGCCTGGGGACGGGGCACGATTGGAGCCCTGGGGAAGGGGAGTCCTGGGCTGGGCAGCTGCCATCCATGGGGCGAAGCTGCTGCCGGTCGGTGTGAAATTGCCATGGGGGCTGTGGGGTGGGGGCCGTGGGGGGCCCCCCGTGTTTCAGCTGCCTTCCCAGCCCCAAGAGGAAGGGGGTAGGGGGAGGCCCCAGGGGTCTTTGGGGAACCACGGGGGAGGGGGGGGAGGTCGCAGTTTCTCCTTCTGCCTTTCACCCCCCCCTCCAGGGATCCCTGGGTAACCTCCGTGGGAGAGGAATGATTGACAGTCCAGGGTCCAGCCATAACCTTCGCCACCCCCAAGGGTTGCCAGACCAGGAAGTCGGGGTGTGTGTGTGTGGGGGGGGAGATCCTGCTTGCCAGCCCAGCCCCAGGGGCCTCTTGGGAGGGGGGGGGCTTCTTTTATCCCAGGCTGACCGAACTGCCTGGGGAGTGGGTGGGGGGGGGTGGCTGCTGCCCATCCCCCCAGCCTTGGCCCATTGGTGGGGGCGGGAAGCCAAAGAAGGGGAGTAAGGGGGGGCGCTCTTGAGTGGGTCAAAGGGCCACCCCCCCCCCTGTAACCCTGACTTTGCCAGAGGCTTTCGTGGGACCCCCGGGGAGGCTGAGCAGTGAGGCTGCCCATCAGCAGCCCCATGTGGGCTGGGGTCAAGGGGTCAGAGGGGATCCGTCCCCAGGGCAGCTGCTGAGGAAGGGGCAGCCCCCCCCCACTCTGAAACCGTGGGACACAATTGCAAGCTCCATGTGGATTCCTGCCTCCAGTGGGTGGACCCCAAAGGGCCCCCGAGGAAGGGGTCAGTGGGGGCCCCGAGAGCAAAGGGCCACAAGACCCCAATGAGAGTGGGACTGGGGGAGCGTCTGGGGAGGGGAGGGGTGCATTGCAGGGGTCCTGCGTCCTCCCTCCCCCACCTCTGAGCAGGGAGACCCACAGCCCGGCAGTCGGCTCCCATTGGGGTCTGGTGCCCCCCTTCCCATGTGCTGAGGGGGGGAGGTGCGAGTGGGGGGCGCGTAATGGTGGCCCACAAGAGGCCCGTCTCTGCTCAGACCCCGGACAGGGCAGTGCCAGGGGTGTCCTTTTGGGAGGGGGCCAGAGCACAGCGCCCCCCCCCCCTTAAGGAGCTTCCAAGCAGATGCCCAGGCGCTCCGGAGGGCCTCTCCTCCACCACCACCGCCAGCAGCTCCTTCCCAGCTGTTCCCTGCAACGCCCACCCCCCCAGCCCCAGCCCATAATAGCCAGGGCCCTTGAAAGGAGCTTGACAACTGTTGCCATAGGGACCATCTCTCTCCCNTGGAGAGAAGGCCGAGCCTTTCGGGGGAGGAAAAGGGCCCTTCCCGCCGAGCAGAAGAGGGAGGGCTGGTGGTCGCTCCCCGCTGGGCCCCAGAGCCCCCCCGGCAGCCGTCTCTGGGGGCCCCAGGGAACCCCCCGATGTGTGTGCGTGCGCTGGGGCAGCCTGACCGGCCTCTCGCCCCTCCGCCTGCAGCAACAGGGTTTCCTCAGTCGCCGCCTGAAGAGCTCCATCAAGCGCACGAAGAGCCAGCCCAAGCTGGACCGCACCAGCAGTTTCCGCCAGATGCTGCCGCGCTTCCGGAGCGCTGACCACGACAGGTGGGCCCAGGCGGTCCCGCTCCTCTCCGTAGGCGGTGGAGGGGAGGGGGCCCCCAGGGCTGAGCGGACGCTCCCTCGCGGCCCAGGGCGCCCTGTGGCCCTTCTGGCTCCCCTGGGGGCCCCCCTCTGCCCAGCCTGCCTGCCCCCCAAGGCCGGGGTGCCCTGGGTATTTTTAGCGCCTGCCTGCCTTCCCCCCCTCTGGCTGACGGCAGCCCCGACACGCAGGAGCTGCCTCCACGTACGCTGCTGGGCTAAATATATCCTGCTGGGGGCGGCAGCTCCGAGCAGAAATGCCATGGGGAAAGGAGGGGGGAGCAGCCGCACACGGACTCTGCCGGCTCCCTCTGGGAAGGGGCTCCGGAGCTCGGCTGGCTGTGCGAAGGGCAGACCCAGGTTCTCCCCCGCCCCGTGGCCCCCTGGGGGCCCCAGAGCCTCCCCCCCAGGGTCCAGAGGGGCTCCCCAAGACTCTTCTGCCCGGTGCCCGCACTCCCTCTCCCCCCCCACCTTGCTGAGGTCGACTCCCGGATTTCCCCCCCGCTGCAGAGATGCCCCTTTGGGGCGCAGATGCCAGGTACCCCCGAGCGAGGGGTCAGCCGAAGCCCGGCTCCCCGTGGCCCTCTCCTGTCCACACACCCCCCCAGCCAGAACCTTCCCGCTGACTGACTGTGCTGCCCCCCCTCCCCCCCCGCAGGGCCCGCCTGATGCAGAGTTTCAAGGAGTCGCATTCCCACGAGTCCCTACTGAGCCCCAGCAGTGCAGCCGAAGCCCTGGAGCTGAACCTGGACGAGGACTCCCTCATCAAGCCGGTGCACAGCAGCATCCTGGGCCAGGAGTTCTGCTTTGAGGTGGGGTCTGGGGCGTCTCGGCAGGGTGGGCCGGGGGCTCCTGGGCATGTGCAGAGCGCAGCTCACTCCTCTTCCTGCCCAGGTGACGACGTCTTCGGGCACCAAGTGCTTCGCCTGCCGCTCGGCTGCCGAGAGGGACAAGTGGATCGAGAACCTGCAGAGGGCGGTGAAGCCCAACAAGGTAAGAGCCCCCTGTTGCCACCCTTCCCTTGCAGGTTTCTTGAGGGAGGGGCTAAAGGGGAGGGTCTCTCTTATTGTCCCCCTCCCATCCTGCCCTCAGCCCCCTCCCTTTCCAGGGGCCTGCTCCTGTTCTGCTGACCCAGGTGGGACCCAGAGACTCGCCATCTCCCTCCCCGCTCGCTCTGAGGAAGGCTGCCGGCCCTCCTTGTCTCTCTGAGGATGGAGGGGCGGGGAGCAGTGGGGTGGGAGATCCCTGCGTCCCCAGCTGTTCTGTCCTCATTGCTGCTGGGATGGGGATCGTCCGGGACGAGCTACTTCCCGTTAGGAAGTCTGGGAATGAAACATCTGGAGCTCCGGTGCAGAAATACGGCAGAGGCCGGGAGCGGCTGAGTTGGTGCCCAGGTCCAGCAGCCCCTTCCGGGGGCTCTCGAGGGTTTAGCGGGAGATCAGCTTCTTGGGGGGAAATGAAACGGATCCACCGGTCGTCAGGTGCTCAGAAGACCACGAAAAGCCACAAGTGGCTCTTCTTAAACCAGTGGATTTGGTGACTGGCACCGGTGGGCAGAAGGGCTGGGCCCAGGGGTGAAATGCGACCGGCTTGGGGTGGTTTGTCCGAACCGGTATCAAAAAATGCTTTTAAAAGTAAAAAAAAAAAACCCTTTACCTTTGCAGGCTCAGAAAAGGCTTCAGGCTTTGGAGCATTTCACCCGCGACTGTTGCCGCAGCTGAACCAGCCGGAGGGGGTGGGGTGGGCGGTTTCTTCCTTCTGTCCCCTGGTAATTGGTGGGCTGGGCAGCCTGGGAGATTGACTCTGGTGAAGCCGTGGGGGGGCTGGGGGGGAGGCCCAGCTACTATTCCCCCCAGCAGCCCTAGGAAAGAAGGGGGCGCTGCAAACGTGGCAGAGGCAGAGGGTTTCGAGTGTGGGCATCAGTGGGCATGGGGGGAGGGGGCCGGGCCTTTTGCCCCTCTTGAGGAGCCCAGAGGGAAGGAGGCCGGGGGGGGGGGGCAGCCCGACAAGACTGCAGACAACGACAACATCCGCCTGGCAGCTGCCGAAGGATATGGATCTGCCCCCTTTCTGCTGTTTTGCAAAACGTTTCCCAGGCGGGGGCTGAAAGCGCCAAGAGATTTCCCCCCCCCCGCAGGTCACATCTGGCGACCTCCACCCGGGGCGCCTGGTTCTCCTGCCTCGTCTTCCGCCCTGGCTTCAGCCGTTGCCGTTTGGGGCCTCTAGCGGCTTCCCAGGAAGAGACGGAAGGGGACTTTCTAGGTGAAAACCTCCCGTCAATTCAGTTTGCTGGGATCAAGACGCCGGTGACTTCCAGGGGGATCCTCCCGTCCACTCGGAGGAAGAAGGAGCCTTCCTGGCCTCCTGGCCTCCTGGAGGAAGCCGCGCTGCCCTCTGCTGGTCAAGGTGCCGCCAAACTCTTTGGCTTCTTACCTTCCTAGCCGTGGAGGAAGTGGGACTGGTGGGGGTTTCCTTTCCCCAGATCTCGGCTTGTGTGGGAAACGCACGTTGTCTCATCTCCCGTGGTGACTAACCCCAGCCATGCAGCTCAGCCAGCAGCAGAGACTGTGCTCAGGCATTCTGCCCAGCCAGAGACGGGAGACGCCGGGTGTTGGGGCTGCCCTGGGAAAGGGCACTGCCAGCCTGTATGAAGTCTTCCCTGCGGGTGAGCAGGGCTCCAGAAATGCTGCTCCCTTCATGTGCCAGTCCTGGTGTCCTGCGGACCAGAAGCCCTCCTGGACCACCTCAGAGCCCTGGATTTCCGGGGAGGGGGGGGGGGGCACCTTCTCTGGTGAACCCCCAGCTGGTGGGAACCGAACCTCTGGAAGGAAGCCTGTCGGTCTTGCCTGGTGCCGCCGCTGCGGGTTGAAGGGGGGGGGATGCATTGGGGGTCCATTCTGAGCGAGTTATTCAGCAGCCACTTTGTGGGCTCACGGAAGGGGTTTTTTTTGGGGGGGGGAAAGAGAAGTAGAAGGTCA